GCCGAAGACGAGTACGGAGGAGGGAACACATGGCCGTAGACAGGAAGAGGAGGAGACGGTAGGCGAGGCATAGACGCGTGGTCAGGGGACGGAAGGCCGAGCAGGCGAAGGGCTGACATCGGCGGTGACTCCTGCTGCGGCGACATGACACTGACACCGGGACCGCAAGCTGCTCCACGGCTACCTCCGGAACACTCCACTCCAGCACCCCCAGAAGGAACACCCCCAGGGCCAGAAACCCCTCCAGCACTAGTACCACCCCCAGGCCCGCCCAGACAGGCCACGACAGGAACCCCAGGACGAGTTCCCACCCCAGCGCCAGCACCCCCAGAGGCAACGAACTGCTGCGGCGACAACTGCCACGGCTGTGACGACGGCTTTGACAGCGGCGGCGATGGCGGCTGCGGAGGCGGCAGAGGAAGAGACACTTGGGGAGGAGCAGGCAGCGAGGATTGCACCGCAGGGCCACCAGAGTCAGCAGACTCCTCGACCGGGACAACCAACGTGAGGGGGGTGATGTGAGACACACCAGACGGGGTAGGACGGGGAGGGGGAGGGGGAGATGCAGGGGCCATCGGGGAAGGGGGACCAGGAACAGGGGGGAGTAACCGGGGGACCACGGTGGGGAAAGCGGTGGTAGAAAGAGACGGACTCGTCAATGGTGACGTCGCGAGAGTGAAAGAAACAGTGAGACGGCGGGTCGTAGAAGTGCCAGTCACACGAGTCGAGGGGGAAACCAAGGAAGACACGGGACGGTGCGGGCAGTGAGCTTGTCCGTACCAGAGGCACGGACGTGGGCAAGGTAGCCCTAGACGTGAAATGCAGATGCGTCACCAGGAAACCCGGACCAAAAAAGGGTCGGCAAAACCTGCGGCTGCTGGGAGTGCAGCCACAGGTTAAGCTGGTGAGCGGCGTAGCAAGCAGCCACAGAAAATGGGGTGCACTGGCATGGATCATGGAGGTACGAGCCACCTCCATGACCAAACCGATACGTCGCTCAGCGACCCCATTCTGCTGTGGGGAGTCCGGCAAGGTGAACGTCTGGGTGATGCCCTCCGCACGACAGAAACGACCAAGGACACCAGAGGCAAACTCGCCACTACGGTCGAAGTGGAGACGCAAGACAGGGAGACCGCGGTGGACGTGAGCAGAGACAAGCCACGGAATGAGAACGTCAAGCACGTCGGCCTTCCGCTCCAAGGGAAACACCGTGGTGTAGCGCGTGTAGTTGTCGACAAGCACAAGGAAGTAGCACTCTCGACGCGGCCCATGGACTGGGACGGGGCCCCAGACGTCCATGTGCAGGGTCTGTAGCGATGTGGCAGTGGGGGGGAACGAGGAGGAGTGAGGGGCACGGCGGAGCCGGCCCTCGACACAAGGCGTGCACGGTCGTGCTGGGGAGGAGGGCAACTCGTGGAACGACCCTGGGAGACCTAGGACAAGACCATGCTGTGAAATGTGACGCAAACGGGGGAGTGCATGGTGACCTAGACGGTGGTGCCACAGGAGTGTCGGGTGAGTGAGCGACCGACAGGAGTAGGCCGCACCAACCTGGGTAGACGCAGTCACCTGAGGGGACGTCCCAACCGGGGGGGTCGCGGTGTCCAGTGTGAACAGGTCGGACACCGGGTCCCGGGGGAACATGGTGAGGGGGACACAGTGGCGGCCTTGGTACAGACTGCGTACCGCTCGTGACCTGGGAACGTAGTGGTGATGCCAAGGTCCTGGAGGCAGCCGACACCAACTAGGTTCCTGGAGAACGAGGGGATGTGCAAGCCTGTAAGAGAGCCCGAAGGAACTGCCGGAAAGGGGAGGGTGGTGGAACTGCGGGCGACTACCGGGCCGGAGGAGGGGTCGGCAAGGGAAACTGCAGCAGGAGCAAGTAGTGGCGTCAGTGTAGTGGAGTTGCGGAAGAAACACCGGGAAGCACCAGAGTCCAGGGTGAAGGAGAGCGCAGCAGTGGTGGTCGGAGTCGGAGCAGCAAGGGAAGAACCAAGGCTAAACAAGGCAGGGCGTCTTACGCCTGATGCAGCAGGGGAGGCAAGACTAGACATACCTACACAAGGCAACAAGGGGTAGTAAGAAATAGTCACACTAGAGTCATCAGCATACAGCACATGCAGGGTAGAACAAAGCTCATCCATGTCCATATCAAAAATCGGAACACTACGGCGAAGCAAGCTGTGCCACTTGGGGAGGTCGGGTGACGGGCTGAAGCGCTGACGAAGCAGGTCGTCCAGGCGACGGAAACAGCGGACGGGGGAGTGACCGATCTTACCGCAAACAAAGCCACTGCGAGGACTAGTCTGGAGCTCGACTGACAGCGCCCGTCACCCGAACCGCCACCCGACTGCACACCACGCGCACGACCACTACGGCCAGCGCCACCACCAGCGCCAGGCCACCCGGGCGGGAGACCACTCGGCCGCCTCTGCTGCTGCGGCTGCGACTGCTGTGGCTGGTGCTGGGGCTGCTGCTGCGGCTGGTGCGGGTCCGGCTGAGATGGCTGCTCAGCTACACCAGGTACGGTCCCCTCCTCAGCGCTACCATTGGGCGACCCGACGCCACCACCACCTCCACCTGCACCACCGCCCCCACCGCTGTGCCCAGCCTTGGGGCGGCGACCCTTCCCCGGACGGAACTGTGCTGCAGCTGCGGTCTTAGCCACAGCAGCAGAACCATCGGAGAAGGTGCACTGAGCGGGGGCACAACCCTGGAAGATAGGGACCGGCACAGTACCGCTGGTCTCGGCGATAGAGCGCTGGCGGGTCTCTATAGCAGACAGGGTGTCGACAAAGTCAGTGAGGGTGAGGTCACCGGGGTGGATGCTAAGAAAGCGGTCGCGGGCAGTAGCAAGACGGTCAGGGAGGCGGGTGGCAAGCAGGTAGAGGGTAGAGCAGAGGGGCGGCTGAAAAGCTCTAAGCTGGGTCTCAGTGCAGGCAGCGCGCCAGGTCGCGTCTATCGTGCGCAGGTGAGCGGCCAGGTCGGCGACAGTAGAGAAAGACGCAAGGTCAGGGAAAAGCATCGGTAGGATCAGGCGACCTACAGAGGCAGCGGGCGGGGTGGAATAGCGCTTGATAACAGCATCTAGGAATTCCCACGCAGTTGTGACTGACCGAAAGCGGGGGCGCTCAGACAGGGGGAAGGCATGACTGATCGCAAGCTAAGCGATGGCGTCACGCGACAGCCAGACTGAGCGGGCAAGGGCAGCGGCTGCGGCGGACTCATGGTCAGCGGACGAGGGGTCAGCGGGCAGGGGAGCAAGGGGGTCAGGGCAGGGAAGCGTACCGTCAAGGTGGACAGCCAGGGAGTGGCCGTCCTGCCGCTGACTAGTGAGATGACGGCGGAGGTCGACCAGCCACGTGTCAAAATCAAGCGGCTGACCCTTTGCGTCAAAGCGGAGCACGGAGTCCGCCATCAGGAGCGATACAGCAGCGGAGCAGTGCTGTGCAGTGCAGTGCAGTGCAGATCAGTGCTATGCGGTGCAGTGCGGTGCAAAGCGGTGCTGTGCGGTGCAGAGCGGTGCAGTGCGGTGCAGTGTGGCACTGTGCGGTGCAGTGCGGTGCTGTGCGGTGCGCAGCGACAAACTGGGCACTGGGGGGGGGGTGGGGGGCCGGCGGACGTGGAACGGGCACGGGGCCGGTCAGGAACGGGCGCGGGGCCGACGAGGGGCTGGCACGGGGCCGATCAGGAACGGGCGCGAGGGCCACCTAGGACGGGCGCGGGAGCCAGCTAGGAACGGGTCGAGGGGCCGGCTAGGAACCCTGCTCAACATCAACACTTCCAATTTCTGCAACAGCAGCAACAAGCGCAACAACAGCTTCAGCAACATCACCAAAATCAACAGTAGCAAATTTCTTTTTCTGGACCTGTTTTTCAGGCTCCAAACATTTTAGGCACTACGCAGATCAAGACAACTATACCTTTTAATGGTGCTGACTTCTACTTTTGGAGTTTCGAGTTCGAGCTCCTCACGAAATCCGCTGGATTATGGCCGTTCTTCAGTGGCGATTACTAGTATCCTGTTACGGGAACACAAAAGGAACAGCAAAGTTTTCTTCATGCTTCACTTAGTGCTTACAAAGTTCTTATCCGCAATCTGTCGTTGAAAGACCAGCTCTGAACAAGATCTCGGATGAAGAAATGACGAAGTTCGATGTGCTTGGTGCGAGAGTGGAACACAGGATTCTTGGTGAGATGAATGGCACTCTGGTTGTCACACCACAGGGTGGGCAGAAGGGAGGGTGGAGGAAGAGGCAGTTCCCGACTACATGGGGGATTGGGCAGAGGATGAGGGAGAGGAGGGGGTAGAGGGGGGAGAGGCTCCTCCTGAAGTGGAAGACAACCCGTTTCTGTCCGATGACGAGGCAGAGGACGATGTGAACATGGATGGCCCATAATTTTAGTTAACGGTAGCTAGTGGCGTGGAATCTTGTAAAGTCTAGACTAGATAGAGGACTTAACTGAATTTGTAGACTGGCATAGTGGTGCTTTTGCTAAACTACTAGCTGTACAATCCTGACGTTCTCTTAACTGATTTTTTGCAAGTGCAAAGCAACCCTGTTTGTGGCTAGCCAACCCTGGAGGTTTCAGGGTTGCATGTTCCAGAACACTGAGAAATCAGGGAAGCCAAAATTTCAACACAAGGCCCTCAGGGTAATTTGTTTTTCCCATTCGACAGCTCAGGGTGCTTTTTTTTTTAAACGTCAGCCCTGGTTGCATCGGGTTTCGCTGCGGTGCAGCGCGATTGAAGTTCGAACCTCTTTTTTTTTTTTTTTTTTTTTTTTTTCTTTTCTTTTCTAGAGCACCGCACAGCCCTGTCAAAGGTATTGTGAAATACGAGACGTGGGCTTTAAGGGGAAAGGCCATACCTAAGCTTACTTTTGACAAGTGTTTGTACAGTAAAACATTTCTATCCCTTTGGTTACCAACAATTCGTCAACTATGTGAACATTTCTATCCCTTTGGTTGTTTCGCCAAGACTCGCCATTCACGGTTGTCCAGTTTGTCAGCTGATTGTGTGGTCTTGCCATGGCTTGCCTCGGAAATATACATGGGAATTTATGAAGCCTCTCAGTGGACGTTTCGCCTGGACCCACCGTTTCTAGTCTAGGCGTTGCTTCCACTAGAAGTGCCCTTTCAAGCGATATGATCGTGTAAAACTTCTTCAAAAAGAAGACTAAGTCCTGGCGGTCTCGGGTGTTGGGACGCTTTTGCGTGCCGCGAGAAACCGTTCCGCAAGGCATGGCGGCCGAGGCGGCGGTGTGTGGGTCGGTGTGGGACGGCGCGATCCCCGTGAGGGTGGTGCTGGACAGCAAGGAAGTCGCCGTGTCGTCCCCCCCGGATGCACTCTATGTGAGATCGCAGTCATGGGATGCCGCGAGTGACATTGCTCGCATGGGATGGCGCCAGAAGCGGCCGTGCATGCGTGTGGGAGGGATAGATTCCGCATACGTCTAGGAGGGCAGGCGTGCAGAGTCTCGCGTCTCAGCGCACTCCGGCGCGCGTCCAGCGAGAACGGAGATTGCGGTGAGGATCGGCATCGTAGCAGGCCACGGCGGTGGTGAGATGGCACTGCGGCCGTCTCGTGGCGCCGTGCTAGCCACTGCTCTGGCACGGCATGGATGCGGGGAGTGGCATGGGATGGCGTGCTGCGTGCTGCTTGGTTTGGGATGGTGGTGATTTCACCACTTTATGTGCTTAGCCGCTCGCTCACCACATGTGCGACGATTGTTGCAGTCTGTTGGCAACTGCGCCAGGACACGAGCTGTTGCGCCCATGTCCCTCTCAGCTTCGCGTCAACCGTTCGACCGCATGCTCATGCCTCCTCGACATCATGTGCGGTGCTGTAGCCCCTCCCACCCCTCACTCCACGCTTCACTCATAACCGCCCACATGGCATTCCCTCTGTGCCATCACACCACACCCGCCCACCCTGTGCGCCACTTCCCCCCCGCCAGCTCATGGTGCGGCGCATGTCGCTGCTTCCTCTGCTCATCCCCGCCCTCGCGGCCCACTTCCACCCCTCCCTGCCACCGGGCCATGACACGGTGTGGCTCGACTTCAACGGGCTGCCCCTCAAATGGTGCGCTGCACTGCTCCCTGCTGCTGCAGTGAACGCGGAGTGCAAATAGCCACCGGGGTTTCTGTGAGTGCAAGGAGTGCTCAACTAGCATGCGAACCTGACCTTACGCCTATCCTGTGTGCCGTGGCGTTGTTGTGCGTACCCCCTGCCCGTGGCGTGGCCCCCTGCGCCAGGAACATCTGGTGTGGCGTGCTGTTCGATGTGCTGTGCCCCGAGCAGCACCTGCCCTGGAACCTCACTGTGAGTGGCCGCCCCGCCTGCGCGCACTCCCATCATCGTCACCTCACAATTGTCAGCGCATCCTCGCCTCCCTAGTCCCCTCAGCATACCCCCTCATGATTATACCCTTGCACTGTTTTCGTACTTTTCGCCCTTCCCCCGAACACCCCTTGCAGGTTCACTTCCGGTCGTACCCATCAGACGTGCTGCTGCCGTTGGACCAGACGGACACCGTCCCGCACACATACATGCACGCCCTCAAACAGGCACGCACCACCACGGCCGTCACTGCCGCGGTAGAGGCATGCTATCAGCACGCTAGCACGCTTGAATGGGCTCCACGCCATTGCACTTGGGGAGGCTGCTTGGACTCACACACGGTGGTGTATGATATGCCATGGCACCACTACCATCACTCATGGTATGCACATGTGCGTGTGGGGTGTGTGCGTGTCCATGCATGTGAGTGTTGGATGTGTGCGTGCCCATGCATGTGCGTGTTGGGTGTGTGTGTGTGTGTGCGTGCATGTGTGTGTTGGGTGTGTGCGTGTGCGTGCATGTGCGAGTTGGGTGTGTGCGTGTGTGTGCATGTGTGTGTGTGTGTGTGTGTGTGTGTGTGTGTGTGTGTGCGTGTGCACGTGCAGGCAGTGAGTGTGCTGCAGGGCAGTGTGAAGGCGGTCATGCAGCTATCCCAGGCCGACCACGCTCATCTCTGGACCGCCGTCTCCTCAGGTGTCCGCCACCTGTCCTGCATTCGCCACCTGCCGTTGCATTCTCGTCTGGTCACCATTGTCCCTCCTCACGATGCTCTCACCCGACCGTCCTTCTACATGTGGGCTATAATTTCCTCCCTACTCACTTTCTTGCATCTGCCTTTTTACGAGTTTCTGCCTCCATACGGCATACCCTTCCTTCTCACCCCATTCCCTTTCTCTTACTCGCTTACTCCCTTTATCCGCATCTCCTCCCTTTCCTCCTCATCGCTCACCCCCGTTCAGGCGACCTGGAGTCATTTCAGCGCCTTCTATCGCTTCTCAACGTCCCTCTCTTCCTTCCGCCCCTCTCCATCTCCTCCTCACCCTCTCTCCGCGCTCTTGCCCTCCATCACTCTTCCCGGGCCCTCACTGCCCCTCAAGGTAACTTGTTTCCACGTCTGCTCCAACCCCTACGTCCATCGCCCATACGTATGTGCAACCAGGATTGTCCATTTCGTTTCTTTGCGACTCTATGGTCTAAGATCCACTCGCTTTAACTGTGTAAATCTTAACAGGATATCCACTCTTTCATCGCCTCACATGCCGCTTCCACCCTTGGCACTGCATGCATGTTTCATGCATTCCCTCCTTCCAATTTCAAACCTCTTTTCACACACCCGCCCCACCCCCACTTTCTCTCCCCCTTCGTGTCCCAGCCCCCAGACAGCCGACTAGTGACCCGCCTCTCCCTCCGGTCCCCATCCGCCTGCTCGTGCGCCGTGGTGTGCTTCCCGCCGCCTCCCCCTCCCCCTCTGCTCCTCCCCACCACCACTGCCACGGCGCAGCAGGCACGGCAATTGCATCAGTGGGTGCAACAGGAGGGGGAGGGGTGGTGGCGGAGGTGGGGGCGTTGAGGAGCTGGCGGGACGTGGAGATGTGCATGCGCGTGGTGGGGGGGGGGCACGCGGAGCACGCAGCAGGCCAGGCAGCCAGTGCCATGGAAGGTAGTGTGGAGTGCACGTGGTGGGAGGAGGGGTCGCAGGATGGTATGATTGGGTGAGAGCAGACCGAGGTTGCTCGTTTATGACGTGCCATTTTCCGTACGGCCTTTTGTGTGTGCACGAGTTCTTCGCCTCACAACTGTTCTGACTCTTCCCCTCCCCCCCGATCCCCTCAGAGCTGACCATCGGCGCGGCTCTTGCGGCAGCCGTGCCTCAGTTGGCCTCCTGCTTCGCCCCCATGCCTGCTCGTGCACCCGCAGCAGCGCATCACCCAAGCCGTAGCGCTGCGGGCAGTGCAGCGCGCAGCGAAGCAGAGCTGGCAGGAGAGTGGGGGGGGGAAGCAGCAGGAACGAGGGACGACGGGGATGGGGGGGAGGAGGGCCGGCATGAGCAGCAAGGGGGGGAGAGGGAGCTGGTGGGTGGTCGGGGAGGGGAAGAGGTGCAGCAAGCTGCAGAGAGGGAGGGCAGGGCTTGTGAACTCGGTGGTCATGGCAGTGGCACTGGTGGAGGCAGTGGTGATGGGGGAAGAGGAGGAGAGAGCAGCAGCAGTGGGGGTGAGACGTGCCCATGTGTGATGGTGTGTCAGGGGGTGGTCATCCCTCCCCACACCCCCCTATCATGGCTGGCCCATAACATGGTGGCGCCTGACCTCTTCCTGCACATCTGCCTGCTGCTGCCGTAGCACCCCCTGTACAGCCCTGTCAGCCAGGGGATGGGGGACGCCATCAAGCTCATCAGGGAGGAGTGATTCATATTGTGTAGATACTCCAGTAGCCTTGTACTGTACTGCAATTCAATTGTTAGGCTGGAGAACTATTAAACTGTGCTCCAGTAGTGAGGTATCAAGCATTATTATATTTTTTAACACACGCAGTGTTTTTAAAAAATTGTGTACCGTGAGAGCGAAGCTGATTGTACTGAAGCTTTGGGCATAGTCAAAGCGCGCTACTCGCCCTTCGCCAACTACAAATATGTGGGTTGGAGCTCATTTACCTCCACCCACGTCTCTCATTTTTCAAACGACTCAGTCAACTTTCCCTCCCACCCCCCCTAGACAACCGTGCATCTCCAATTGCCAGCCGGTCACTTGAACAGGAGCGCACAACTAGGATCATCATTATGTATGTATGTTTAGATTCTTAAAAGCTAGTGTCAAACATACATTGTATGTTGTTGTAGACTATATAGGGTTGTGCCTTAGGGAGTACAACCCATTAGGTTATATTCCCTTGTATGTCCTGTTCTAGTTATTCTTTCACTTAAATATGGTATCATGAGTAGGTAGCCTCCCCCCCCCCCCCCCCAGCGCTTCCGCCCTAGGTTAGCCTCGTCGCCACGCGACCCCGTCCCCTAGCGGTCCCGCAGGCCCGTCACCTAGCGGCCCCGCGGCCCCGTCTCCTAGCGGCCCCGGGGCCCCGTCCCCTAGCGGCCCCGCGGCCTCGTCACCTAGCGGCCCCGTGGCCCCGTCACCTACAGCCCCGCGGCCCCGTCCCCTAGCGGCCTTGCGGCCCCGTCACCTTGTGGCCCCGGGGCCCAGTCACCTAGCGGCCCCGCGGCCCCAACACCTCGCGGCTCCGCCTCCCAGCTGGACCCGCCTCCTCGCCGGCCTCGCCTCCTAGCCGGCCTCGTTGCCCAACCGGCCCCGTCTCCTTGCCGGCCCCGCCTCTTAGCCGACCCGGTTGCCTAGCAGGCCCCGTCGCCCGACCGGCCCCGTCCCCTTGCTGGCCCCCTCGTCTAGCCGGCCCCGTCGCCTTGCCGCCCGCGGCCCCGTCTCCTAGACGCCTCGCCGTCGTCCTCGGCCCTCTGCACTGCGCTGCACCGCCCGGCACCGCTCTACACCGCACAGCCACGGCTATGCACCGCACTGCCCCGCTCTCCACCGCACTGCACCGCCCTGCACCACACTGCACCGCTCTGCACCGCTTATGACCACACTCTACACAGCCATGATGGCTGACTCGGTCCTGCGGTTTGATGCGGAGGGGCAGCTGATAGAGTTTGACTCGTGGCTCGTCGACCTCCAACGACACCTGACTGGTCAGCGGCAGGACTGCCACTCCTTGGCCGTCCACATCGACGATACGCTCCCCTGCCCGAACCCCCCTGCTGCCCTCCCCGTTGACCCCACGTCTGCTCACTGTGAGTCCGCTGCCGCTGCTGCCCTTGCCCGTGCGGTCTGGTTGTCGCGTGACGCGGTCGCACAGCTTGCGATTAGTCATGCCCTTCCCCTGTCCGAGCGCCCCCGTTTTAGGTCGATCGGGACTGTACAGGAGTTCCTAAAGGCTGTTGTTGCGCGCTATTCCACCCCGCCCTATGCCTCCATAGGTCGCCTCATCCTGCCCATGCTATTTCCTAACCTTGCGTCTTTCCTCACTGTCACTAACCTAGCCGCCCACCTGCGCACGCTAGACACGACCTAGCGTGCTACCTGCACTAAGGCCCAGCTTCGTGCGTTTCAGCCCCCCATCTGCTCTTCCCTCTACCTGCTTGCCACCCGCCTCCCTGACCGCCTTACCACTGCCCGCGATCACTTCCATATTCTCCACCCCGCTGACCTCACCCTCACTGACTTTGTTGACACCCTCTCTGCCGTAGAGACTCGTCAGCGCTCTATCGCCCAGTCTAGCGGTACCGTGCCGGTCCCTATCTTTCAGGGCTCTGCTTGTGCTCACTGCACTTACTTTGACAGTCCTGCTGCGGTCGTTGAGACAGCTCCTGCTGCGGAGACAGCCGCCGCAGTGCAGTTTCGTCCGGGTAAGGGTCGCCGCCCCAAAGCTGGGCGCGGCGGCGGTAACGGAGGAGGGGGTGGTGCCGTTGGTGGAGGTGGCTCGCCCGCTGGTAGTACTGACGAGGGGGCTCGTGCTGGTGCCTCGGAGCAGCAGTCCCAGCAGCACCAGTAGTAGCAGTAGCAGTCGCCGCAGCAGTAGCAGCAGCAGCGACGTGTCGGTTGTTTCCCGCCCAGGTGGCCTAGAGCTGGAGGTGACGGTGGTCGCAGTAGTCGCTTGCGTAGCGTGCCGTCGGGTGGTGGTCAGAGTGATGGGCGCTGCCAGTACCAGCTCCAGACCGGTCCTCGCCGCGGCCTCGTTTGTGGTAAGATCGGCCATACCCTCACTCGTTGCTTTCGTCGACCTGCTTCGCCTCCACTTCGGCCCGTCGACTGACCTACCCGACTGGCACAGTCTGCTCCGTCGTGGTGTTACGATCTTTGATATAGACATGGATGAGATTAGCTCTGCTTTGTATGTACTGTATGATGATGACTCTAGTGTGACTGGTTCATATTACCCTATTTTGTCTTGCGTAGGTGTGCCTAGTGCGCCTAGTTCAGGCTCCCCTGCTGCGTCAGGCGTAGGATCTCCTGCCTTGTTTAGCCTAGGGTCCTCCCTCGCTCCTCCGACCTCCGTCGCCACTGGCGCGCTCTCCTTCACCCTGGACTCCGGCGCTTCACGGTGTTTCTTTCGCGACTCCACTACACTTACGCCACTTGCCGCTCCTGCTGCAGTTTCTCTTGCAGACCCTTTCTCCGGTCCTGTAGTTGCCCGTAGCTCCACTACTCTCCCTTATCCGGCGGTTCCCTCAGGCTCCCAGGCCTGCACATTCCCTCGTTCTCTGGGAACGTAGTTGGTGTCGGCTGCCTTCAGGACCTTGGCGTCACAACTACATTCCCTGGGCACGAGCGGTACGCTATCTGTACCGAGGCCGCCACTAGTGCCCCCCTCACCACGTTCCCCCGGGACCCGGTGTCTGGCCTGTTCACGCTGGACACCCCCCCCCCCCCTCGGTTGGGACACCTCTGCACGCACCAGCGTCTTACCAGGTTGCTGCGGCGTGCTCGTGTTGGTCGCTTACTCACCCGTCGCTTCTGTGGCACCACCGTCTAGGTCACCCCCCCTCACCCGTCTCCGTCACATGTCCCAGCACTGTCTTGTCCTAGGCCTCCCCGAGTCCTTCCTTGCGCTCCCCTCCTCACTCGCGCCTCCGTGCACGCCACGCCCTGCGTCGAGGGCCGGCACCGCCGTGCCCCTCACTCCTCCTCGTTCCCCCCCACTTCCGCACTGCTGCAGACCCTGCACATGGACGTCTGGGGCCCCGCCCCCGTCCATGGGCCGCGTCGAGAGCGCTACTTCCTAGTGCTTGTCAACAAGTACACACGCTACACCACCGTCTTTCCCCTAGAGTGGAAGGCCGACGTGCCTGACGTTCTTCTACCGTGGCTTGTCTCTGCGCGTGTTCACCGAGGTCTCCCTGTCTTGCGTCTTCACTCCGACCGTGGTGGCGAGTTCGCCTCTGGCTGCCTTGGACGCTTCTGTCGTGCGGAGGGCATCACCCAGACGTTCACCCTGCCGGACTCCCCGCAGCAAAATGGGGTCGCTGAGCGACGCATCGGTTTGGTCATGGAGGTTGCTTGTACCTCCATGATCCATGCCGGTGCACCCCATTTTCTGTGGCCGTTCGCCGACCACTACGCCGCTCACCAGCTTAACCTGTGGCCGCACCCTCAGCGGCCGTAGGTTTCGCCAACCCTCCTCTGGACCGGGTCCCCTGGTGACGCGTCTGCGTTCCACGTCTGGGGCTGCCTTGCTCACGTTCGTGCCTCTTGCATGGACAAGCTCATTGCCCACACTGTCCCCTGTGTCTTCCTAGGTTTCACCCTCGACTCGTCTGACTGGCAGTTCTGCCACCCGCCTTCTCCCCGTTTCTTTCACTCTCTCAACGTCACTTTTGACGAGTCCGTCTCTTTCTACCACCGCTTTCCCCACCATGGTCCTCCGGTCACTCCCCCCCAGTTCCTCGTTCCCCCCCTCCCCCGGTCGACCCTGTCCCCCCCCCTCCCCACCCCGCCCCGTCTGGTGTGTCTCACGTCACCCCCCTCCCGTTGGTTGTCCCAGTAGAGGAGTCTGCTGACTCTCGTGGCTCGGTGGAGTCTCTTCCCCCGCCTGTCCCTACGCCAGTCTCCCCTCCCTTGACGCCGCCATTGCAGCCGCAGCCACAGCCGCCGTCGTCACCGCCGCTGGGGTTCGTGCGTTCAGGGGGTGCGGGGGAGCAGGCTGGAGCTGGTTCTGGAGCGAGCTCCGGGGGTGCTGGTGTGGGGCTTCCTGAAGGGAGCCGTGTTGCCGTTGGAGGTTCTGGAATTGGAGTCGGGCAGCAGTCACAGGCGTCGCCGCCGGTGTCCGCTCTTCGCCTCCTCGGTCTTCCTTCCCCTGACCGCCCGTCGCTGCCTTCCCCGCTACCGCCGCCTCCTCCTCTGCCGGTCCACGACCCCGTGCTTCCTCCCCCGGACTCCTCTTCGCCTCGTTTCCCTCCCAAGTCTCCTCCCCTCTCTCCTGACCCGACTCGTCCGTCTCATGTCTGGTCTCGTCGTCCATCTTGTGCTCGTTCTACCTCCCCTGTTCCGCGTTCTCACCCTATGCTGCTTCACTCTCACGCATCTCGTGCTCTTCCTCTCCTCCCGTTTCCTCCCCCGTCGTCATTTGCTGTGGCCCCACCTCCGTTCTTCGACTTCCTCCGAGCTGCGCGTCCCCTTGTTCCTCGTGTCCTTGCCTCTCTCGTAATCGACCCTTCTGTTCCTGTTTCGAGTCTGTCGGCTCTTGTCGCTGCTGTCACTGACTTCGCCGCTACCCGCCGCCTGGACTATGCCACCGCTCTGGTCTCTGACCCTGCCTGCCCTCCACTTGTCGGCGGTGTGGCTGCTCTTGGCAGTGACGTCCTAGAGGACAGGCAGTTCGAGCTCGCTTTCCTGTCTGAGGCCGCTCCCCATCTCTGTTCCATGCTACTAGTCCCTGAGGGTGACCCAGACGCCCTTGACATCTCGCCCCACTCACCTACGCTTAGACTACCTCGGGACCCTGGGCCTCTCAGTGGATAGCTGCCATGGAACA